CGCCAGTCGGCGCTCTGAAGGACGCCGAATCCGGCCCGGGTTTCGTTCGTTCCGCCTACCAGCACGGGCCCAGAAGCCTTATATAGAAGGACGCTCGCGGGATAAGGACGCTCGCCCATATAAGGACGCTCGTTTTTTAGGCTTGGAAATCAAAAAGTTTCGCGAACGGACGAGCATGGATCAAAAGATCCATGAGATGTGCGATTTGGCATTGAAATGTTGCGATTTGGCATTTGAATGTTTTGAATGCACATGGATATGCCGCAAAAAGGTTGGGATCCCGTGCGGCAAGCGCAAATTGTGCGAGCTTTCATGAGCATCAGCGCAAAATAAGATCTGAATATAGCTCTATTGGAATTCTGCATTGTAATATATTACGCCAAGTTTGGAGAATCGCCTTTCTGTTGGGGCGATTCTCCAAACTTTGCGGCCAGCTATCAACATATACATCTTCTGAGTTGTACTTGTCCGGGGGAATTCAGTTTGAGATCGGTGTTTTATTCTGCATGCGTGCATGCCGGTGTGCTTGTCACCGCCGGCAGGCTTCGAAGATTCACATGTACACCGTGTTGGATCCAATGTTTAGAGGTGTGTGTGTGTGTGCGTGCATGATCTGCAAAATATTGTTCATCTCTGGCGACAATATATGACAATATTGGTATGATTATATACCTATATAGGTATGTATGTATATATATATATACGTTTACATACATATATACACATGAGATGTGTATACACATATATATGTGGACCAATTCTAACACGCTAATTTCGAAGACGTCGCGAGAATTTATGCCATGGCTTGCACCATGGCACCTGTATGCTACAAGCTGGCGGTCGACTGCATGGCGCACACAGCATCTCTTCTGCAGATTGCTTTTTTACTGCCTCCACCGAAGTCCCATCTGCACGGTGTAGCGCAGCAGCACATTCTGCGACATGTTGCGCACCGGAGATTTGGATGCTAGACTCTTGATGCGTCTGATTGCATCTTCACCCAGATAGTTGCTAAAAAAACGTGGGTTTTTGGGCTTCCAGTCCAGCACGGCATGTTCCAACAGGTGAAGTTTTGGTCTAAAGTGATACCTGGGTAGCCCTCGAGATATTGCACTTCGCGCAAGCTCGTTGTACCCGAAACGCAGCATCAGGTAGCATTCTTCAAACTCATCGGCGGAAGTCTGGCCGAAAAAGCGACTTGGCTTGCATGCAATTCTGAACTTCTCGCTGCGGGCAACATGTAGTTAACACTAGTGCCGCCTGAGTGCCCATTGTTGAGCATCAGCATCTCCATATCTCGAAAAGCCGTGGCCACTGCCATCAAGTGCCTGCAGGATGTCTCACATATCCCTGCGTGTATGTGTATGTCGTAAGTCATTACAGCACGTGCATATAAGGTATGTCCAAGTTGCTGCAAGATAGGAGTCGGTGCGAGCTGCTCGCACACCGCTGTCAAGAAGGTGCATGCCCATAGCAGCATATATCTGCAAGCCGTCGCGGAAAGAATTTTCTGCGAAACCTCGATATTCTTGTTGTTGCGCAAAACTGCTGTCGTAAACATGCGTCTGCTGGCACGATCACCCACTTGACAGGCTTCAGCCCACGATCTGTAATCTTTCCACAGCACATCCAGTCGCTTTTCCCGCGATGCGCCCGGCAGTACCGTAGTGTCGTCGGTAACCTCCAGCAACATGCTTCCCAGAAAATCAACAGCACAGGCCAGATGCACCATATGCATGTAGTCTGGAAGCAGTCCTGAGGTTCTGCTCTCTCAATGATTTGGTACTTGAGGCGCCATGAAAATGTAATAGTGCTAGCCAAGATTCTAGAGGGACCAAACCCCACAATTTGGGTCAATGGAGATGCCCCATGTGCTTCGATGAAGTCCTCCTTGGTCAAGATCATAGTGCTCCGGTGGAGGGCATCGTGCCCAAAGCAAGAATATAGGAGCTCCACATTGTTGGGTTCACCCGGCTTGGCTACAGCATTGATCCACTGGATTGCCGAGCAGAAATGACATGTCATCTTCTTGTTGTAGTAGCCTTAAAGGTGGATCGCACCCGGAATAGATTAAGGCTATATGCGGTTAAGGTACATTGGTACGGCCTCTCAAGTTGCAGATATGAGACGGTGCAGGCCCATAGCAAGCTTGTGGTACTCCCAATCGGCTTGAAACCCGTCAAAGACGCATACATAGGGGCCGCAGATTCGTTGGCCTGCCACTTTTGCCCTCTCGGGCATGTAAGCCGGCCCAAACTCCTTCCCGAATGCATCGCTGTGAGGGTGGACCCCCGAGCCTCAAGAGTTGGCAATTGTGAAGTTGGCGACTATAAAGCAATTCTATATAGTCTAGTGGCTCAGACTGTTGAAGCTCCATGCTATAATGGTCAGCAGCTTGTCCCGTGCAGCTTTGTTGCAGTAAGTGGCATTCATACATGATAGCCTGGGCGCGGCCGACGTACTTCGGGGCTTATGTGAATCCATGTTGACTGGTTCTAAGGTATAAATTGCCCATCGAGACACAAGAACCGCGTGTTCAAGGTGGACGACTCAGCTTCATTCCATGGAACGGTCACGAGGGTCAGAATCTCGAATTTCTGTTTGCCTTATTAGTCCGTGCGCATGCTTCAGCAGTCAGTCTCATGAAGTATGTCACTGGCTGAGTAGCGATAAGCATCTGCACCGTCACCATACAATCGTAGCGGCACCACGTAATCGAGATTACAATCAGGGTCCTGCACGCAGACCATGCAAAAATCAGCAAACGCCCCACCCAATTCGGCCCAGCTGCATCGAAGGCGGGGTGCTTCTGCAGAAACGTGTTCGTCGCTGCCAGCTCCTCTTTGCCAATATGATCGAAGAGCCTGAGCTGCATGTGCCTTTGAAGCCTCGGACAAAGATAGTGCGACTAAGAGGCTCCTGGGGGTCCTGTCAGAAGCGAGAACAAATCTTCCCGTTTGTAGAATGATGCCACCAGCTCGTGGGGGAGGTACATTTCGTGTTTGATGGTCTTCCGGTGTTCGCCCCGGGCGTCAATGTATTCCTGAGAACAAAACATTGCTATGTACACCGATATGTTTGCAAGATGTGTGCCTCAGTGTACATCAGACATTGCATGCATGCATCCCAGCCGCCATTGGCACATCCAGCTGGAAAGCTTGAGGCAAGGCTGCTCCTGGGCTCACAAAGGACTAGTCTAGATCTGTTTCGGGGAGGGTTTAGGGTTTAGGGTTTAGATTGCGGATTGATTTGCCGGGCTTCTCCACTTCTGTTTTTTCAGCCATCTCGTGACAATACGACCAGCCCCATAAGATTGGCAGGACTCCAGAGCATCCAAAAGCTCCAGTGCATTTTCCCTTAGATGCATGAAATTGAGAACATCAGAAATCATCACTCCTCGCAACTTCATTGCGACGGGGCAGCCCAATCAAACCATGTGGCAGGTCGCGCAACCGGCCTGCAGGTATTCAATTGGGCAACAATTAAAGCATGGCAATCCAGATAGATGTATTTGTACATTGTGTTGCGCAACAACAATACCCGGCCTATGGAAGTCTGTAGTCTCTTCAGACTAGCCTGCAATCCAAGTGGGCTGTTTCGGAAAAGACACGGACGACTCGACTCGACTGTGTGGTGGCACCTCCCCAGACCCGAACATTTCCAAAGCATCATAAACCGTCTTGTCCACATACTCCTGAACGCTGAGACCCGGATTTGCCCTCGGAAGTTTGGACTCCATGGCGGCAACTCTTTCTGCATCATGGAAGCTGGGACCTTTACGTTCATGTGGGGTTTTGGTTCAATCATCGGCATGGTTTGGGGTTTAGGGGTTTGTCAGTTCAGGGTCTTGGGCTTGGGATTCCGGGATTGCGTCGGGAGAGGAGGTTTTATGATAAGATGAAAAAGTTGAGCTTGAAGGATTGGGGGCTGTGAGTTTGGTTTCTCTGAATCACATTCGAGCATTGTCCCGGCCAGCTGGTATATAGAGACATACATGCGATCTCGATAGACACTTGCATCACTTGCATGCACTCGATCTACAGCCCGAGAACTTTTCAAGGCACTTCCCCGGCCGGAGCAGCAGCATCCGTGTTGGTAAGTGAGGTCACTGTCGCTGCTGGAGGTCAGGTTCAACACGGCAGGCTTCGCAGATCGAACTTATGTAAGCTAAGTTGTAGTCCTTCATCGAAGTAGGCCCGACCCAGCATGCACAGCTGC